GCATGTCCCTTTAAGACAATGTGGCAAGTCCTTAGAAGAAGCTAATGCAAGTTGTTAGCAGAGCCTGATAAAAGATTTTTCTAGCTAAGGTGATAAACATTGCCACGTTAATCTACAGATGAAAGGATGCCGCCTTAATGATATTATTTAAGCTGTTTTACCCTAAGTGCTTCAGCACAACAGGAACAGCAGTTGATTTAGTTCCTTCATCATCAGAAAGCATCTTAAACTGGCTACCAGTGACTAGTGATGGAGCTGATGAGAGGGCACATTCCAATTGGATTTGATGTTTCCTCTTGGGAACTGAAGAAATAAGACCTTGAATTCACCACCAGTTAATCAACATCCACTGTGTTCTGTGCCAGCCCTCTGCTACAGATTCAGAAATAGAAGATGGCTTCTCTTAGGATGTTGTCTAGGATAGGAGACAAAAATGGGAACCAACACAAAACCATTTAAAGGTAGTATTTTATAAGTCTACAAGGAATAGTGGGGATCCACAGAAGCAATAGCAATCTTTTTTCTAGAGAGGACTGTTTAATCAATGTAGATTCTTTGATAAGTAAATAAGAATGTAAAGCTGAGAAGGTATAGTGTGTCAAATCCTGGGCAGAGTTCAGACAGATACACACATTTTAAGATTTAATCCCTGTGCTCAGACATCTCAATCTTGTCTGAGAGGACAAGGACAAACCCTCAACTGTTTGTTGTTGAATGAATGCATGAAAGTAATACTCTCATAGAAGCTTATGCAGTTTCTCTGGGAACACAGAGCAACTAATCTACTTGGAATGAGAGAAGCCATGCCATTTGTGTTGGTCTTTGACAGATAAAGAGGAATTTGTCTAGCTAAGAAGGGAGGAGCAGGCATTTCAGGCATAAACTTATGAGGAAAGCCATTCATGTCCACTGAGGGAATAACAAGTGTTCTTAGGTGGCTAGAACTGAGGTTTATGGCTGTGAATGCCTGAAGCTAAATCTAGAGAGAAGTTGGATGGAGGCAGGTTGCCCCACCCTTGTGAGCTATGTTGAGTTCCTAGACCATATTCTGCAAGGAAGTATAGCCCTTCCTGGTACAGGCTTCATAGTGGGATGGGGGAAGTCATTTGTGTGGCTATCTGTTACCATGTCCAGCACTGTTCTGATACTCTGTGAATACAAAGAACTAAGTCCTTGCCTTCATTAAGTTTACATTCTAGTTCAGGAAAAAGGTTAAATAAATAAATAATAAAACAAGCCAAAAAATAAAAAATAAAACAAACCCAACACTTTATGTCAGATACAAGAAAAATTACAGTAGGGTCACAGGACAGTAATGGGAAATTAGATATAAGGTCAGGAAAGATTCTCTGAAGTGTTATATGAGGAAAGAACTGAATGAAATGTGGAAACATAAATGCACCAAATTGCTTTCACTAATAACTTTGGAAATGAATTCTAATTTCGGCTTTAGCCTTTTCTATTTGGATGGCCTGGAAAACTTGTTTTAAGCTCATAGAGCACCAATATAATAATTATTGAGAAGCTCAATAAATGTTAGGTGACTAGTTACCAAATTATATTTGAATAAGTGCTTCTTCTTTTTTCAATATTAGAACCTAAGTTCATGTTACAGGCTTTAGAATGCCTTTTGTCATGCTAACCTAGATAAAGAGCTTCTTTTCTCTGAAAACACCTCTCCAACACTTATACTGACCCCTTATAGAGTTATAATGTCTACATTTTTATACCAAGGGGAGTATTTGGCTGTATTCAGCTTAAATTCAAACCTGAAAGTTCTTCCAAATGGTAGTAACAGACGTATATATCATTTACTGGGTGCCTATGTCAGTGATGGAAGATTCTTTGTAGATATTCAAGCAGCTTTATAGGATACTACTCACCACTGTACCACCAGGGCCCAGCACAATGCTTGCTACATAATAGATCTTATATAAACATTTGAATAAATCAGTCTCAGAAAAGTTAGGAAATATCTCCAATGTCACAGAAACAACCTGTAGCAGAAAAGAAACTGAGCTACGCATGTCTGACAAAAAGTTTTTAGCCATGTCACCCAAAATACAAGCCATTCCCTCAAAGACTAATCTTACAAAGCCTCGAGTAGGTAGACAAGAACAAGCCTCCAATATATCGAGGTAAGAGAGAGAAACCAATTCCAAGATCCAAGAGGCAGACCTTAAGGGCAGAATTTCAGACACATGATGGTCATAAAGCGATAACCAAACACATAAACAGTAAGCTGTTATAAGTCTGTGTATCAACAACACAACCAGATCAGCAAAGAATCAGTGCAACATAGAATGCTTTAAAAATGATTGGCATAACTCAGGTTATGAAATAAGTCCTTGAGGAAGAGAAAGTAAAAACTCACATTAAAGTGCATAAAGTTAGGGCTTGGGGATACAGTTCAGTTGGTAGAGTGCTTGCCTTGCATGCACAAGGCCCTGGGTTCAATCCCCAGCAACACACACACACACACACACACACACACACACAAAGGGCATACAATTATAGCTAAATGAATACAGATAAGTCATTCCTCACACATTATTCATCTCAAAATCTCAAGAACAGCCCTGGAGAGGAACATCATTACCCTAGGTACATATATGATTGCACAAATGGTGTGACTCTACATCAGGTACAACCAGATTGAAATGTTGTGCTCTATTTGTGTACAATGAATTGAAATGCATTCTGCTGTCGTGTATAATTAATTACAACAAAAAGAAAAAAGGCAGATCTAGATATTGTTATAAGTATTTGCCTGGATTAAATGGTCCTACTGATTATCATAGCTCAGAGTAATGCACAAATTAAGATAAGCAGACCATTGGGAGAACATTTAAATGGGATTTATTGGGGGGGGGAGCAATACAGTCTTTATAGAATTACTGATAATAAAAATTTTGTGAAGAACTTAGGTAAGCACTCAGTATATGGTTGATACTTATATAATAAATGTCAGTTTTCCTCCTTCCTCAGCAATTTGTACTACTTCTAATTTTTATTATAAATAACAATGGACATTTGTGTACAAGTTTTTATGTGGACATTTTCTTTTTGCCTTGGGTATATGCCTAGGAGAATTGCATGGTAACTCTACATGTAACTATTTGAGTGAACATCAGACTTTTTCCAAAGTGGCTGTCCCATTTTACACTACTGCTGGATTATGAAGGTACCAATTTCTCCATTGCCTTCATCCTTATTTTTTATATTTTAGCCATTCTATTGGATGTGAGGCAATAACAAGTTATGGTTTTGATTTGCATTTTGGTAGCTAATAATGTCAAGAATTGTTTCATGTGCTTACTGATAATTTGTATATCTTCATTGGAGAAATGTGTACTCTGCTCATTTTTAAGTTATCTTTTGATTATTGATTTGCAAGAATTCTTTATACAAGTCCCTTAGCACAGGATTTGCAAATATTTTTTTCCCATTTCATGGGTTGTCTCTTCACATTTTTCTTCTTCAGTGATGGGCATTGAATCTAGGGCCTTGTGCGTACTAGACAAACACTCTACCACTGGGCTGCATCTTCAGCTCTTTTTACCTAGTTTGAGACAAGGTGTCACTAATTGCCCAGGCTGGACCCAAATTTGTAATCCTCCTGCCTCACCCTCCTGAGTGGTGGTATGACAGTGGTGTATGACAGTATGCACCACCATGGCAGCTCTCTTCATTCTCTTAATGCTGTCCTTCATAACACAAGTTTTGATGATGTCTACTTTATCTTTCTTTTGTGGTGTCATATCTAAGAAGCCCTTGCCTAAACCAAAGCCCTGAAGATTTATACCTATTTCCTCCTAAGAGTTTTATAGTTTTACTTCCTATATTCAAGGATTTCATCCACTTTATAGTAATTTTTAAGCAATATATAACATGAAATAGGGATTAAGCTTCATTTTCATATAAATATCCAATATTTTCAACAGCATCTACTGAAAGACTGTTGTTTCCCCATTGAACTGTCTTGAGTCTGGTTGAAAATCAATTTATCATAAATGTGAGGGCATATTTCTAGATTCTTGATTCTATCCCCTTGATCTATAGTGACCCACATGTCTATCTTTATATTAGTACAATATTTTTTTCATTAACAAAGTTTTGTAGTGAGTTTTGAAATCAATGAGTCCTCCAATTTTCTGTTCAAAATTCGCTGTTGAGTCTCTAGAATTTCCATGATGCTAAAATCAGTTGCTAGGTTCTGCTACAAAAGCAATCCAGCCAGCCAGCCAGCCAGAAAACAAGCCAGCCAGAATTGATGGGTTGTACTGAATCTGATCAGTTTGAATAGCGTTGCCATTTTAAATCTTCTGATTCATGAACATGAGATGTCTCTCCATTTATTAATTTCTTTTACAATACTTGTTACTTTTAGAATGTTTTTCCACTTGTTTTGTTAAATTTATTCCAAGGGGTTTTCTTCTTTTTGATGTTACTGTAAATGGAACTATTTTCTTAATTTTCATTTATAGAAATTTCATTTCTATTTTTATACTCCGTGAGTACACAGAAAAATAATTAATTTTTGCTGATCTGTATACTTCAACCTTGAGCTCATCAGTTTTAACAATTTTTAATGGATTCCTTAGGAGTTTTCAATATACATTTGAAATATACATTCAATATATATTTTTCAATATTGTCATTTGCAAATAGAAGCAGTTTCACTATTTCTTTTCAAATCTGGATGCTCTCTAGAATTTTTCAGTACTAGATAAATTTATGAAAAATTTAATATGTGGATGTATTCAAATCAATAGTGCATAGATTAATTTTTAAAACAAAAGTAAGGGAAAGAAAAGTGCTATAGAAGAGAAAAAGCAGAAAACTCAATGAATTAGAAAGCAAGGAAACTGATTCCTACAGCACTACTACATTATTAACTAGCTGTTTTGCATTCTTAATGAGGTAATAATCCTCTTAATGAGTTCATAATCCTCTTTTGGTTACACAAGGGATTTTCAAAATCTTTTTCCATTTGATATACCATGAACTTTGGGGAATAAGGATAAATTTCCTTAGTTTATTCAATCATTACAACCATGATTTTACTAATATTAACCATCCTCTCTCCTTTACCCCTCACAAAGGAGAAAAGGGTTACCACAAGTAAAAGAGGACACTAAAGTATCTTCACATTGAGAGAAAATGTAACTATCAGGTAAGTATAGTCGATAACATTACAAGATATTTATAAAAAGTTACCCTCTTGGGAACAAGCTGGAATATAAATAAATGCTTCAGTGGCTTGTGGAAGAAAAAGTAAAAATCAACAAATGAACAAAACATTTACTCTGTCAAATAATGCACTATTTAAAACTATAAGAACAATATGGATATTTTTAAAAAACAATAAAAATGTGTTCTAAAAATATATATTATCTGAAATTTTATCACAGAAAGTCATTTTTAAAACCCAAATTTTAGATTCCACTTTTTAATTATTATTTTGATTAAAATGACAGAAACTTTTCACAATATATAAAAACTAAATTTTTCTACTAAACAATAATTATCTACCCTCCCTCAGCTTTGCTTATATTGATAGTAGTATAATATTGCTTATATTGATATAGTATAAATTATACTGAAGTATTTTATCTTTCATGTATTCTGGAATCTTACTTTTAATCTCTGGGATAAAGGAAGAGGACTATCCAAATAAGTACCAGGCTCCCTGTCTTTCTTATGACTTTGTAGACAACTCTGAGAACTTTTTGCTGTATCTAGAAAACATTTTTCTTCATTTCCGGTTGTTTTATAAGACTTGACAAACAGTTCAGTTTCTTTAACATGTATCTTAGGGTTACTCAATTTGCTGTGGTTGTGTCCTTTGAAGTGGGCTGGGCTATGGTTCTGAGAACTGTAACTCATTTTTTGAGTTGTGCACTTAGCTTTCCCAAATGTTGGGGTACTTTCTTCATCAGAGGAATGTCTGTCAAAAAAAACACTATTCTTCATGACGATTTTTTGAGTGCGTTGCCTATCAATTTTTCTACTACGATCTAAAGCAGGATGTAGTGGTCCAATTCTAATATCAGAGGTCTTTACTACTGGATTATTGACAGGATAAGGTATGGAAGTACTAACTTTATAGTTTTCTTGATGTAGCTGGTCTCCTTTTAGGAAATGAGACTTTCTAGATTCATTTTGCAAATGAATTTCTGGAAGATCTTTTGAAAGATGCAACAGACAATCAGAACTACTGTTATCAATACAAGATTCTTTGTCCCTTGTTAGGGACACAGTTTTCAGATGAATATCTGGTTGTATATTATCCTGAGGATATGATGATTTTATTTGTATTCGTTTCTTTAAAGGCAAATCCTGAAGATGTAAATCACTAATGCCAGAAAGTAGATGCTCTTCAGGACTAATCTTTTGAAGATTCCCATGCAACCCTTTATTGATGTTTGTGTTACTCCATTCTGATTCATATGACAACTGTTCTGGGATATTTCCAAAGTCTTCAGGGATGGCTGATAGGTCTGATTCAAGTTCTGATTGTTGTAAAACATGAGAGAGAGGGTTTATTTGAATAGCTGAAGAATTACTAAAAGAAGTATCTTCCCAGTCAATGGTACTCAAGTGTAGGTCAGTAATTGCAGATATATTATAGGATGAAATATTGGGCTGATTAGATTCTGAAATTACAGACTTACTGATATCTTTAATATCCTGTATAGTCAAAGGTCTTGAAGAAGACATTTGCTGTTGTGTACTCAAATAAGGAGCATTTTCAGGTAAAAGCAAGCCATTGGATAAGGCAGAAATAGATTTCTGTGGTAATGGAGGATCAGGAGAAATTTCCAAATTTAACTTGGCATTCTGCTTAAGAAAGATTTCACATGTGGGGTTTAAAGTCTTAAATGACTGAAAACTCATTGCATCATCTGATTCTGGTGAACTGTTTTCCTTAGGTTTAATTTTCATATCTGAAAAAGAAAAAAATATAATTAACAAGTATTTTCTTTTCCTTAACCTGGGTAAAAATACATGGTTCAGATAGAAATCTTCTATGTGAGCTGTTTTTTGCCTTTTCTCTTTTCTTTATTCATTCCTAAAAATATTATAAAATATTTTCTTCTGGAAAAAAGTTATAATTGAGTAGTTTTTCTTAATGAGGTTTAAGAAATAGTAAAAAAATATATTAATAATCTGAAATGTTATAGTTAGATGCTCTGAATTCAGTTAGTATAATCATTAATATCTGGTTAAGTTAGTAGACACAGAAGAGAATGGTGTACTTCTGGTTTTTCAACTTAAAAAAAAAGTATATGAAGTTAAAGAGAAAAAGTATCATTCTTTCTTTTGATTTTACAGAACTTCCAACAAAATTTAGACAAGACATATTCAAATAGAATAGGTGGTTCTTATCTAACAGGAGTGTGTGCTATATACAGTTATCCAACACAGTACTTACTTTTTTTTGGTTTCTTCCCTTTAATTTCTAATTTTTGTTTTTGGTAGTCAGCTACAATCTCAGGATAGGCTGCTGTAAACAATGATTCTTCTTCGATTGTAAGTAGAAGCAATTCTCCATGTTGTTGTTCTTCTAAAGCATAATGTTCTAAAAGATTAAAAATGCAGTAAAGCAGCCTTAATTATAGATTTGAAAAATCATTTTTCCCAGGTAACAAAGTATACCCCAGATTGACAATTTATCAGAAATCTTGCTTTATAAGATCTCTACTCTAATAGTATAGAATTTATTTATTTATTTTTGGTCTGGAAAAAACTGAAAGGAGATTCCTCTGAAATTAGAACTTGAAAATTTTTTTGCTTCAGAGATGGTAGCAGCAGTTTAAAGAATAAAAAACTTTTGGGCTGGGATGGAATTCAGTGGTAGAGTGCTTACCTAGCATGTACACAGTCCTGGATTCAATCCCCAGTACCGGGAGGGAAAGAAAAAAAGAAAATAAGAGAACTTCAAGTTGGTTGGCTAGTTGGTTCTAATTTCTCCTAGTAATTGTTAAAATTCTGGATAAGAAATGGAATAGACAGTTTTCTATGACTTTAACATTATTTTTCTTTAAAAGAGATGGCTTCTGAACAGAACAGAATTGAAAAGGTCATCAAAAATATTATTATGTCAGAGGTTATCTCTTCCTCTCTTTTGAAGTGCTAGGCATTGAACCCAGGACCTAACATTGCTAAACTAGTATTCTACCACTGACCTATACCCCAGGTCCTGTTATAAATCTCTTGAGGATACTCCCAAGCAGCTGATAATTCCCAAGAAGATGACAAATGAAAATACGTATATGTAAATTTATGATATGATATAAAAATAGTAAACTAGATTCCCATGTGTATTCTATATGTGGGCAAAACTACATGCAAAGCCAAATTATAATGAAAACATCTATAACTTTATAGCAGAAGCAAAGGAAACAGGTGATCTTAAGGTGTTTCTTGTTTAATATCAGCTTGTAGTCCACTTCTTCCCTCAGGAATAGCTCCCTCAAGGACAAATAAAAGTTACCTGTTCCTCAGTTCCAGATAGGAGAGATGCACTGCTAAACTGGGCTAATATTTTCTTTTCTGAAAATACATTAGTTGGTAGAACTGTTCCTACATAATTTCCAAATTCCTTAGCCTTCAATTTTCTTACTATTGCTTGGAATAGTCACCTATTTCTTTTTCTTTTCTTTCAGTAACAGGGATTGAACTCAGGGGCACTCAACCACTGAATTCACATCCCCAGCCCTTTTTGTATTTTATTTAGAGACAGGATGTCTCACTGAGTTGCTTAGGTTCATGCTACATTGCTGAGGCTGATTTTGAACTCAAGATCCTCCTGTCTCAACCTCCTGAGCTAGATTATAGGTATGTGCCACTGTACCCAGCTCTAGTTACCTAGTTCTTTACATAATTTTATTTTTCAAAGTTTCCTACAGCTTAAACTTCCACTCTTTAATTCATGCAAATATAATCACACAATCTAATTTCAAGAGCAAATAGATATAAACTTGGGATCATTTTCTATTTTAAATTATGTGTACTTTACTTGTCTCTGAAGATAATTCAGAACTCACAAAATTTCTGTGTGTGGCAAAAATAAGAGTAATGTGACAATTATAAATTCTCATAAAACTAAACAGAATAATGGAAAGGAAGGGTACCCTGTGACTATTCAGCAATTTCAACTGTTTTAGAACTAGTTATATTTGAAATCCAATGATTGGAACTTTTGTAGAAGAATTTTTTTAAAGAATACATTGATATTATTTTCTTAAACATTACAAAATAAATACCAACTAAAAATCACTTGAAGTTTATCATATTATTAATCAAAGTCTATTTAAAATAATACAAGTAAATCAGTTTACACAAATAAACTAAAAAATTAATGTATGGTACATGCTTTATATGCATCTTATGTTATATGTAGATACACACACACACTTACTACACATATATGGTCAAATATTTTACGTTAAAACATTTTTCTTATATTGAATACCTACCAGGCTTTTCCCATTCTACTTGAAAACAATGAACTCCATTTCTGATTCGGGGTTTAACAATTCTGAAAAATAAATTCATCTAATGAAGTCTAATTGTATGTGTCATAGAAATTTTCAATTTACAGACAGAATAATTCAATTGCTATTGATTTTTATTCTAAGTAAAAATAAGAAATTACTGCCTAGTTATTCCTTTGAGTAGTTAAAAGAATAATTTTATATTTGGTGCATAAGATTTATAATTGTTATACTTTTCTTAGTATCCTTCTTTATTGGGCAGCACTCCTTTTTTCCATAATGATTTTCACTTTGAAGTCTACTTTATTACATTATTTGGTAAGAATGTGCCTGATAAATCTTCTTAAATCTCTCTTTATTTTATACAAACTTGCTATTATTTTGTATGTTCTTAGTAAACACAGTATCCACTAAACTTGCAACAGATGAGTTTAATCCACTCACATTTATTGTGATTACTGATTAAACTGGATGCATTCATAAATGTTATTTTGTGTTTTCTGTTACCAGCTTGTTCTTTGCTACTTCCTCCTTCTTATATGATTTTGGTTTGATACTTTTATTTTCTTATTTTAATTTTGTTGGTAAGGATGACCGAGATTATACTTCTTGTGGTTACTCTTTATATGTGTGAAAATACCTTTTCTGTGGAAAATGTTTTAATAATTTCTAGGTGACCAATTACTTCACTCAGTAATGAATATAAATATAAATAAAATATTTCACTTTGAAATATTAGTCCATCATTTCCTATCAGCATCTATTACTGTTATGAAAGGTATGTGCTATCAGATTATCATTCCTTTGCCTTTTGACATTTTTGATAAAGTTTCAAAACATTAGAAAAGTTACAATAGTACAATGAATATTAACACATTTACTGAAACTCGCCAGTCTTAATATTTTGCCAAATTTGTTTTTTCCCATTTGAAAATTAGTTGCTACATGCATTAGAAGATCACCCCTACAAAGCCCATATATGTGAAGATTTCTTCTCCCTAGCCACAAAGCAAGCTTCAGAAAATTAATACTATTATACAGTTCATTTTGATTTTCCCTCTCTGTACTTAAAAATGTACTTTGTAGCTTCAAGAAAACTCAGAATTCAGTCAGGATCACAATATTTTCATATCTTTTTAATCTAGAAAAACTTTATAGCTTTAAAATTTTTATTATATTCATAAAGAAGAGTCCAGAATGGCAGTTCTGTGAAGTGTTTCTCACTTTGGATTCATTAGACTGTATTTTTCCTCATTAGATTGAGATGAAACTTCTTCTGGCTAAAACATTACATAGAACTAGGGCTATAGCTCAGTGGTTAAGCACTTGCCTAGAATGCATGAGGTCCTGCATTCAATTACCAGCACTGCCAAAAAATCAAAAATAAATAAGCACACACACACACACACTCACATACATGCAGATGATGATATCTTTATTAGTAGTCATTACTAACTTAATTAAGCCGATCTCTACTTCTGACGGTACCATTTTTCCTTTGTAATTAATCTATGGAATGACAGTTGAAATCATACTTTTTTTCCCCAGCAATCTTTCAACAGTGTCTTCAATATTTGTTGATGATTCTTTCTTGACTTGTTTATTATCACTTTTTAAGACATTCCTTTTATGCTCAATATCTAGATATGCTGGGTACAATATGCTGGATTTATTTATTGTACTTGGAATATAAATTTTAGAAAACTTTATCAAATGTTATCTCTTCAAAAACTACTTTTCAGCCAGGGACAGTGGCACATGCCTGTAATCCTAGTGGCTCTGGAGGCTGAGGCAAGATGATTGCAAGTTCAAAGCCAGCCTCAGCAATGGAGAGGTGCTAAGCAACTCAGTGAGACCGTATCTCTAAATAAAATAAAATAGGTCTAGGGATGTGGCTCAGTGATCGAGTACCTGAGTTCAATTCCTAGTACCAAACAAACAAAAACTACTACTACTTTTCCTCTTAGTTGGTTCTAGAAAACAGGTAGAAATTCTCAAAGTATTCTCAAGTTAAACTTAAATATTTTTCATTAGTGTTAAGTTGTCTTCTGTGTGACTTGATTAGTAGTCTTCTAATACTCCAATTCTCTGTGATCAAATTAAGCCTAGAGTCCCATGTTTAAATGACTTTTTCTTAAGACTTTATCTCTAATTTTTAAGACTTCTAGAAGTTTACTTTTTATATCCATTTATTTAAAATCATTTCTATCTACTTCGTTTTGTAATTTCACCTTTTCATCTTCTTACGGAAATATCCTTCATTTCCTTGAGACTTCCTAGTATTCAGAAAGTCCAATAAATTCAAAATAAAAAAAAATTAAAAACCATCAGTGTTAACTATTTAATAAAACTAACTGACTTGGAGTGAATTCATGATGCAATTGTTAAAAACTATTATATTTCTTTATCTACAATGCATTTTTCTTCAATTCTCTCATATTTTATCTCTGTTCTCACTTCTACTTCTCCATTTCTTGCTGAGTATTTTTCAGCAGCAATTCCAGCCTAGTTACTGGGTTTTAAGAAACAAATCTGACCCTATCAGGCCTTGGTTTTAGTCCCTTATTCCCTCTATACTTTTGTTTCTTTCCTAGTCTACTGAAATTGTTATCTTGTTAAGTCTAGCTCTTTTTATATTTATTTCTTTTGATAACCTATTATTACTGTCTTTGAAGTAGGAGAATATGTCAAAACATGAATTGACTGTGTTGTCTAAACTAAAAGCCCTGAATATGCTTTTCATGTCCCAGGAGGTTTTTCCTCCACTTTTGCAAAATAAAGAGCTACATACCCCACTTTTAGAGATATTAAGAATAGTTTAGATCATCACATATTCTAATAGAAACAAGGAGTCTTCATCATATAATTCTTAAGCTACATTACCGTATTGGCTGTAATTGTTTAGAGTTCCTTCTACCAAGTTTTCTTTCTTTCATGTCATAGCGGGTCAAAAGTACCAACAATTTCTCACATGCATAGGGATTGGGCCATTCCATTTTTTCAAGGGTAAATCTCTGTAAATATGAAAAAAATAAGACAAGACTTTAAAAATTTCTTGGAAACAAATAATACTCATAGGTGTTACCATTTTTCCATTATAATTTAAATTAAAATTAATGAGAGTATTACTAGAAAGAACGATGAGCCTTCTAAGGAGGAAGCATTGGACAATGATGAAGTTCTAAGATTCTTGGTCTGTATGCCAGCATATTTCCTAGACTTTGGGTTAGGTAACTTAACCCGTTTAATGGTTAGTTTACTCTGTGAAATGGAGACAATATAACCTAACTCACAGATTATGAAGATTGAGAATATATGTAAAGTATTAAATGCAATAGTAAATTTTAAGTGGTCACTAAATGTTGGCTGCAATTATTAATATGATTATTGAAAGGGGCAAGTAGCAAATAGTTACAATTTATTGAGCCATTTCTGTGCCCAGAGCCACTATACTAAGGGATAATAAACATAATCTCATTTAATACTTATGGTAACAAGTAATGTTATTTTTGTTTTGAGGATAATGCATATTCCAGGTCACATAGTGATGACAGACTGTTCAAATTTATATCTAGATCACAGATTTCAAATCTCAATCCTTTTGTAACTTATATTGCCTTCCACAATCATGCATGTGATCCTGATATTCTTTGGTAGAGGCCCCCTCCCCACAAACATAGTCCCGGATACAATATGGATATATGGTAACTGGATATATGGTAATTAAGACATTTTCAAAAAAATAGCATTATTGTGATTTCTCTTATGGTATAGAAAGTATGTCCACTGTGAGGCAAAGGAGTAAAGGATAAAAGTAAATACTAAAAAATATATGAATAGTCAATAGCTGTTTTCATTTTTAAACTTCTTGAATAAATTCATTACTAACTTTGTACTATAAAGTAATAATTCATTTTAGGGTACCTGGAACAATAATAAATCAGGTCTTTGGTACCTGATTACCTTCATCAATTTATCTTTGTTCACAAGGAATTCTTGAATAACCTACAAGGGGGGAAAAAAAAAAGGAATTGGGACCATGAAACTTAAAAAGTTCATGAAATGAATATACAATTGAATTATTGGTTACCTCATGAAATGGGAATCCCTCACAACTGCAAGCTTTCCTGAAAATTAAATTATATACATTATTACTATAATCAGACAATTATTGACAGAATCCGAAATGATCTTGTCCAATCTTCTGTCTTTTAAAGAAAAATATTACATGTAGTTCTTAAACATTCATCAAGTTTATAGCTGAATAACAACTATCTCCTAAGATAGCTGAATTTTGGAGTGGAATCAAGAAAAGTATATGTATGACTAATCTAGATGTGGGAAGTTATGTAAAAAGAGTTCAATCACAAGTCTATATACAGCTCATGATAGGAAAAAAAAAAAAAGTCTTAAAAAAATACCTCTTAATATTGTTCTCCACTCCATTTAGTTGCCTATCATGTTCTGTCTGGTGCCATTCACAAGGACAGGAGTATTCATAGTCATGCGGTTCACAGTATCTATCACTTTTACATAATTTGCATCCATTACATTCATGATCCTTAGGTGAGCCTTTATGGAGAAAGTGTAAAAAAAAAAAATGTATATATATATATATATATATATATATATATATACATACACACACACACACACACACACACACATACATATATAAGAAAGTATAATTTTCAGTGCTTATGAATTACTTTCTATTACATTTTTTTCATTATCTAAACTTTCAAAAATTGGTGCTGCCTAGCATAGGTTTTAGTAAATTTGAGTTGAATAGAGTAAAATTTGAGTTGAACAGAGTAAAAACTTTCTGGTTTATGTAGTAGCTATAGAAAAGCATAATGCAATTATTACCAAAATGATGATTTATTTAATAGAGTAATTAATGGGTTAATAATTAATAATTAAGAGTTTCTTTGATTAGCATATGAAAAGCATATGCCAGTTAATTACTTCTGTCAGTGCGTAGCTCTCAGTTACACAGTTATTTTTAAACTAGGCTTGAAACATAAATAGATTATGACTACAACATAGGTGTGGGGCCCAAGTTTCCTTAAACAGGAAAAGTGTGGTTACCTTCAACATTGTTTTGAGAGTATAGAAGAGCATGTATATATATACTTGATATGAGTTAAAGTTGTCATTTATAAAATATCGAGAAATTATAGAATATCATATTATTTGTAAAAACATTTATATTCTTCTATGATTTAATTTATAAATTAACAAAGTCAGTGAAAACTTACACTGAGATGAGCTAATAGGATCTCCTAATCTCCTTTGGGAGTAAAAGGCCTTTCTGACACAGGCTGTGCTCAGTGATATATACATATTTTTTTTCTTTCCCTCCTCTTCCTCCTTTTTTTAAATTTTTTTTTAAAAAAAAACTAAGACTAATGGAGATCCAAGTTATTTTCAATAACAGTGAATATATATAGAAATTAGTTTGAAGTCATTATCTTTACACATAGTAAAAGTGCATTATGGGACAATAAATAATCATCTAAGTAAATAAATATAAATAATTACCACAGGGGACTGGGGTAGTGGCTCAGTGGTAAAGCATTTGCCTAGCATGTGTGAGGCACTGGGTTCGATTCTCAGCACCAAATATAAATAAATAAAATAAAGATCCATTGACAACCAAAAAATATTAAAAAAAAAAAACACCATAAAGTAAAATGGTTTCAATTCCATTTTTCCATTTTTTAAAAAAGGATTTATATATTGAAAACATGATAATTTTAAGATCTAAGTAATTAGGTATCAGTTTGAAATCATACTTATTGTATATTTATCATCTGTTCACATCATTTCATTCAACAAATATTTACTGAGAGTCTATTATCTGTGTATAACAATTTGAATCTAAGGCATTCCCAACCTAGTGGGAAAAAGCCTTCAAAGTGTTATTAATAAAAGTATGAAAAAGTACAATGAGAACAGTAATGAAAGTGTGGATATCAGACTTTCATATCATGAGGATATTCCCTCTTGTCTGCTTACCTGGATGGCAGCACACAGAGCAGTGAGCCAGTTTTTTAGCTACTAGTGGTTGCACAGCAGAATAACTTGATTTTTCATTCCACTGATTAAATCTGTAATAGAAATTGTTTTTTTGGGGGGGGCAGGGGTCACAAAAATGCTGTTATCAAATGTCAATTTACTCTATTTCCTTTCACCTGATAAATTATCTTCCCTTTGGTGGGAGATAAATTTGATGACCTTGCCTGGAAAAATCCTTAGTCACAAGTTTTAAATGTGGCCTTAAGAAGAGCAGAATTGCCCTCTGGATGCTGTGGTACATGCTTGTAATCCCAGCGGCATGGGGGGCTGAGGCAGGAGTATGGTGAGCTCAAAGCCAGCTGCAGGAACTTAGCAAAGCCTTAAGCAACTTAGTGAGACCCTGGCTCTAAATAATGTGTAAAAAAGGACTGGGGATGTGGCTTATTTGTTAAGTGTCCCTGAATTCAATTTCCAGTTAAAAAAAAAAAAAAAAAAAGCACAATTACCAAAAAGGAGAGAGTATATACCTAAATGTGGGTATTGTAATCATATATTATATATTCACTCAGCATCTCTTTAGAAGGAGCTTGTTAGATAGCAATATATGGAGAGAATGATTTATATATCTTTGCTCTCTTCTCTATATGCCAGAGTTTAAAACAATCAGAATGTGTACATGAACATTTTTCTACATCAGAAATCAGAGCAAAGTGTAATACATAAACCAAATAAGAAATCTGCATTAGTTGAAATGAGCATTTCTTAATCTGTTATGCAAACAGAAAAACATTACTCATTTAATGAAAAAATTTAAATATATATTAGAGTGGAAATTTCTAATAAATAAAAGTTAATTTTGCTTTTGTCTAACATTCTGTGTTAACATAAAACCACCAAAAAGCTAGGTAGTAAGCATAAAGCATTAAGTACCCTGAAATGTGTCCCTCTACTTACAGAAGTTAAGATTTCAATAAAAAGCTAAATTACCTCTTAAGTTCTTTAGATAATATCTGGTACTTAGAATTATTTTTTAGCTGTTAGAATTTTACTCATTTACCACAAAGACAAAGTATAAGTTTTTTAAAAATTAGCATTAATCGCTTCTGGAGAAGTGATAAAGAACTAAAAATGATAGTGATAAAGTGATAAAGATATAAAAATCAAAAGTATTCAGGGAAAGCCAGCATAAATTTATGAAAATTAGAATAACAGACAATTATAAAAAGCAATATAACTTAAGTACTTTTAAGTGTTAAGAGAAACACTTATGAAACTTCCCAAAGTACAAATTTGCTGAAACTGTTTCAAGAATGCCCTGGAATTAGTCAACTAACATATTTGCTTGCTTTTCTTTCTTTTTACTATTCTTCAAAATTCCCAAATGATTTCTTCACACACCCCAATGCCAAAGTATACCTTTTCTTTCCTGCTTTGGCACAGTAATCACTGGTGTCAATAATGGGTTTTCTGAAGTCCTAGATGTATCAATAGTTTTTATGGCTAAAAAAGAAGCTTTATAGGAAAGAATACAGGAATGTGAATTATCTTTCATGGTCATTTCTTCTTTATTTCTATCACTTAGTATTTCTTTTCAGGCATTCACCACCTATCTCAACCTATTGGGGGACCAAGACTGTTGAATTCTCCCTATGTCCCAGTTCTTTTCCTCCTTACTTATTCTATAACTTGGTAGTAAACAGCCTGTAGCAAAATGTCCATGGTTATAAATAAAAGCATTTCAAATGGTACTAATAGTGTTTAGTGAGCTAATAATATATCTTTTAAAATATTTATATACTTAGAACATATATTTTCATTTTCCCTTTGGAAAGTTTTAGAATAAATAAAAATAAATTATTTTAAATGAAAACAGCAATTTAAAAATACAAAGACCCTTTTTTTGGGAAGGCATAGTCCTGTTTGTGATACTATTAAATTTGACAAGAATCAAAGTCCAATGTTGCAAGAAAAAGTTATTTTTAGTTACCTCTCAAGCAAACTTTGACCTTTCAAAATCTGTATGAGTTTCAATGCTTGCTCTTTTCCAACTCCAGGGACTCCCTTTCAGAAAGGGGAACAAAAACTCAAATGTTAATAACCAGCTAAACAAAGTGTAGTGAGTTCTTCAATGGAAGACTGTGCAGCTGAAAGAAACAAAAAGAGAACTCTGTGTAATGATAGAAAAATATGTAAGATACATTGTTACATGTGAAACCTAACTGCAAAATAATGTATGATATAGATTTGTTAGCAATTGTATTATTAGACTATTAAACAAAAACACTGAGATGATATGCCAAACCACTAATAGTATTGTTTTAAAGTTGTAGTTGGACACAATATCTTTATTTTATTTTTATGTGGTGCTGAGGATCAAACCCAGGGCCTCACACGTGCTAGGCAAGTGCTCTACTGCTGAGCCACAATCCCAGCCCTACTATTTCTTTCTTTCTTTTTTTTTTTTTAAAGGGGAGAAAAGAACATAATTTTAGAGGGCTTTCACTTTCTAAGTTAATTATTTCAGTAATTTTATTTTTTTTCTAACTTAACATTCTATTTGTAATCAGGAAAATTAGTTTATTTAATTATATGAACATTTAATATTTAAAGACCCAGAAACATAAAAAGGAAGAAAAGTTTGAAGTTTATTAAAAACCTCATAAAATTAAAATGTAAATTTCAAATGCATAAAAATTATACACACAAACATATTCACATCACAAGTTCTGGTTTGAATCTATTGGTTCTTGGTTCCTATCAAAGTTTATGAATATATTCCTATTAGTAAGGCTGCTATTTGTCCATTATGCACTAAGATAGAACACCAGTTTCAAAATACTTACAAACTGGTTGGTAATGACCAATACCCGAGCACCCTGAATATCTGTCTGACTGCCAACCCACCTATACCCAAGATTCAGCTACTAAAAAGCTAGTCCATGCTATAGCAGAGGCTACCTCAAAGTCAGTTCCATTTCTATAGTCTATGACTTTGGCATGTTAGCTGTTAGATATTTTGAATTTCCTATATTAAATTATGGTAGTACATTGTCTTAAAAATCTTTAAGACACCATAAAGAGAGAGCATCTTTGTTTACAAAGGATACAGAAAGTCAAACTAGCTAAGGCTTGCTGCATATTGTAAATACCATTGTAGCTAAAGCTGGTTTCTGGGAGTTTAAGTTTTAAGTTCAAACTTGTTGAATTCAACACTGAGCCATTTTTAGATTTTAATTATTACATATAAGAAAATAGGATCTTTTATTTAAGAAGAATTACAATAAAATAATGGTTTGTTGTATTTAAAAGTCTTTCCTTCTGCTTTCTTTTACCAGTTTAAAAAAAGTCATAGTGGCTGGGTGTGGTGGTGCATGCCTGTAATTCCAGTGGCTCAGGAGGTAGAGGCAGGAGGATTGGGAGTTCAAAACCAGCCTCAGCAATTTAGCGAAGTGCTAAGCAACTCTGTGAGAACTTGTCTCTAATAAGACACATAATAGGACTAGGGATGTGGATCAGTGGTCAAGTGCCCAAGTTCAATCCTTGGTCCCCCCACCCTAAAAAGGCATTGATTCCTATAGATAGCCACTGAAGACATGTTAGAAATCAAAGTTAATTATTTTATTCTCCTGTTTTTTCATTTCTCTTTGGTGCAAAAAAAAAAAAAAAGGTCATTCTTCTTCGTACTTCTTTTAGGAATAGAGGTAATATGAGGGATTTGTCAGGATAGAGATGATTTGTAGGGATACAATGATGTGAATATATAGTACCTACAGCGCCTGTCTTTTTGATTTTTATGCACAGTATTTAAGAAAACGGGTTATTCTTATAATTCTTAATTTATCACTTACCTATCTATTATATTTATTTGTTACAGAGTACCATATTATACATCCTAAGATATAAATTAAATGTTTCAGTGAACAAAACCCAGTGCAATGCTGAGTGGCATGGAAATATGAATGGCTTACCTCAATAATCATGTTGCTTAGCAACATTAAAAACAATGAGCATGTGTACAACTGGAAATCTACAATGGACATTGAAAACTAAAAAAACTGACAGAAACAATGACAGAAAGTAGCACTGGCATGATATAAGAAAAGAGCAATTACTGTTTTTTTATAAGGGTAGTCAAACTTGAATATGAATCTCTCCATCTAGAGTAATGGTTTAACTGAGATTCAAACTGTGATACCATTTATCATGCTATTATATTCTGGTTTCTAACAGTCAGTGTCATATGTCGGCTCTTTAACACTATCTGAAACCAAAGATGCTATCTCTTTATGGTGTTCTAAAGATTTTTAAGACAAGGTACTACCATGGTTTAATATAGGAATGATGATGTTCAAAATATTTAACAACTATTTTAGTTATTGAATGGCTTGTTATGCCTAAATACTTCAAGTTAGATTCTTAATTATATAACTACATTGATATTAATACAGCACATAAGGTACCAAAAAGATACACATAAAAGTAAGTAAACACAATTTCAGCTTGCCTTTGGAAGATAGTCACAACCAAGAAGTATTGCTAGTCCAACCAGAGCATCTCTGTCCAAACCTAGTTTACTCTTGATAGATGACATTGTGTAACAGTCAATGTGAGGATCCTAAAGAAAACAGATTTAGTTCAATCTTCAAAAGGTAAATGTTTACACACTAAACAACATTACAAAAACCAATTTGTCAGTTACCTTTCTTTCTTTCTTTTTTTGGGGGTTCCAATCCTTTTTATTTTGAGACAGGGTCTCACTAAGTTGTTTAAATCCTTGCTAAGTTGCAGAGGCTGGTTTTGAACTGGTAATCCTCCTGCCTTAGCCTCCCAAGCTGCTGGGATTATAGCATGTGCCACCACACCCAGTAGTTTACCTTTAAAAGTTTAACTATTCCTAAAATTTAAGTAGAAAAATTATTTGGATGACTAGAATCTTCATAGACTCTGACACTTCAATAGACAGAAATAAAGTCATAGCTGTTTCAAAAACAGTTTAAAAAATAAACCATAGTGGATTATGTTTTCCTCTTTATTGCTTTTGGTTTATAAAAATATTGTACAATACATATTGTAGAAAATAAGCATTCCCTATAATTGTATTGCCTTAATTATTATTAGTACCTTGGTGCATATTCTTCCAAAAAAACATTTTGACACATATATGCTAACGTTTATTATTAACTACATTTTTATGCAAAAGTAGAATTCCATGAAATACTATTTTGTAACATTTTATCTCAACAATCTTCCTGGGTATCTTTTATGTCAATAATATATATCTTTTAAATGACTGCATGACATTTGATATGGATTCTGAGACAGTGTTTCTCAGTGGCAATACTATTAGCACTTTGGGAGGGATAACAGGATTGTTTGGCAGGAGGTTTAGCTTGTATGGCCTTTTTTGAGGATGAAATAATAAAATGGAAATGTGAGTCAAAGTGATGTATTTCCCATCTAATTCTGTGGTATTTTCTTGAAAGTGATTAAGAATTAAATCATGTGAAACAAAGTCTAGCCTTTAGTAGAAAAATCTACATTTAAAAGAAAAAGAATTATGTGGCCATAATTTTTAAAATTTTTTGAAAATTTATTTTTAAGTTGATAAAAAGCAAAAATTGTACATAAGTATGAGGTACTAAGAATCATTTCAATACATGTATATTATCTGTAATGTTTAAATTGAATTACTCATATCTAATTCCTCAAATTTTGTCATCATTTGTTTATGCCCAAAATTTTAAAACCTCTAACTCTTTGAAATGTATAGCAAAGATATTTTTAATAACAGTAAACATTTTATTTAGCAAATGCTATATGCTAGGCATTACATTAAGCATTTTACATACATTATTTCATTTAATCAGCCCTTTTAAAAAGGTAACTAACTTATAAAACAAACACTAAAGAAAGAAAACAAATACCTTTGTACTTATAGTGAAATTCCTGTAGACAGTCTGGGCTCCATAGAGGAAAGCATCACCATCGTTGGTAAGGCAGCCATCTACCTGGCCACTGGCATTAAGGTGAGCACACATGGCTTCTGCTTCTCCAGCAGCCTGAACCCAGGGGACTCCTAGACATTCTAGCATATCTAGGCACTGAAGCAAAAAGCAGGTGCGAGAAACAAAAATATATTTTTACTGCTAGTTTCTTCAGCGTTTAATTTACTACATTACAAATACTAACAGTAGCAATTTAGGTATTTTAAAAATTAAATTGAAAAAAATGCTTGGGAATTTGAACATTGATACTTCCTCTTAAGGAACACTATAACTTTTCTAGGTGTGATAATAAAAAAATCATATTGTGTTACTGTTTTTTCATGTTTTAGAAAATGGCACTGAAATACTGAGAATTACACAATATTATGGGTAGCATTTGCTTCAAAATAATGTGGGAATAAGACAGTGGGTAGAGACATAGATGACATAGACCAATTGTTTAAGATTGGTGATAAGTTACTTTTGTCTTAATTTAAGATATTTTTGTCATAAAAATTAAGATTTTTTAATGTCAATTACAAAGTACTATGTATTTGACTTTTGTTCAATGCTATCTTCAAATTCTGAAAATATTGCTGAATAAAAATGGATCACATGAAGATTCACACACGTAAACTATAGAACTATAATAACTTTTCTCACATGATAGTCAAACCAATATGAGCTTTAGTTTTTTTGGTGGTGTTGGGGATTGAACCCAGGACCTTGTGCATGTGAGGCAAGCACTCTAACAACTGAGCTATATCCCCAGCTCCCAGTATGAGCTTTTGGGAAGAAGATCCTAGTGCACAACTTTAGCTTGAAGACTTAATAACTTTTTCATTTATGAAACTCTCATATTGTAGGGAAACCATAGAATCATTTGTTGGTGTCCTTCTAGAAAATCAAATGTCTGGGCAGCATGATTACATCATTTTGTGATACATAAATAACCCATTGTGAGTTTTCTTTGGATTATGGTTAAGCCACCCAACTGAGTAGCCTACAGTTAGCCATATGAACTAGGTCATCTTTTTTGTCCTATATTATTCTCTCTGTATTGGGGAATACTTAGAATGCTGGAAAAAAGAAGATTTTGACTTGTATTTTCCAGTGACTGACAGAATAAACACCTTTGGTTTAGACTTGTTGATCACTTTCATGTTATCATACATACCAAAAACTTCTGCCAGGTTTTACCCAAGGTAGATAAGATTCAAAAAGACAAAATATTATGTTAAAAAAATTACTTCTCAGGAATCTGGACAGGTAATTTTAGGGAGAAAATTTTATTACAGGTGTTATTTCTACCTTAAACACTGATAAGAAGCCTCCTTTCCTAATAATCAAAGTCACCGCAGCTTCTTGTACCATTTGTCATTACAACTTTTTTCAAAGAACCAGCACAGAAGAAGTAATGAGGCTGCCTGCAATTGTTTCCTACCCTGTTCTTCTATCATGTAGGGGAGTTGGTATAGGAGGATGAATTATTTGTGCTTTTCATGCTCATACCTAAATGTCGGCAGTGGATTAGAAAGATGTAGGGCCTGCCTACTAACTAGGAGTACAAAAATACAAAAATGAATAGACAAGCAATACTGAACTGACACAAAATGCCTTAGAGCACCATGATATTTAAAATGCAGTACAAAACCTTTCTTCAATTACTGACAGTTGTTAAGATGGAATACTCACTAATTAAAAACTATTTTTTAAAAATCACATAATAGATAATAGACAAAATTTTAGAAGAGGAGAAAAATGACTTAGTTTATGCAATGTCTTTTAAAATAAATGAAATTTTTAACCAAAACTGAAAAGAAAAACAGGGAAATTAATCCAAAGCAAGTATATAGTTTATATGCTTAATATATAAAGGACTTAATACAAAAGTAAAATTAAAACCTCAAGAGTAAGTAAGTAAGTAAAGGACATGATGACCTCACTTAAAGACAGACTCAAAATAAGTGGCCAGCTTAAGTTAACCATGAAAAGTCCAATACATAATAAATGTAACCTTTGCTTCTGCAGAGTACAAAGAAAAATCTGCCAACATCCATTGTTTTTGTTAGTGCACCAAAACGGTTTATCTTACATTTGTACAGGTAGAAAATATGTGACTAGAGCTACAAAATTATTCTAAAACTTTGGTTTATCAAATCATTTTGGGTAATTTTTATATAAAATTCTAAATCACAAGAGAAAGCTACGGGGCTGGGGATGTGGCTCAAGCGGTAGCACGCTCGCCTCGCACGTGCGGCCTGGGTTTGATCCTCAGCACCACATACAAACAAAGATGCTGTGCCCGCCAAAAACTAAAAAATAAATATAAAAAAAAAAAAGAGAAAGCTACATACACAAAAAAATGCTCATCATAATTACATGTATAATGGAGAACAACTAAAAAGCAACAATGGATACATCATGCAAACAATTCACAGGTTCACGTATGTTGTACAACCACTACAAATTATTTTTTAATAGAATATGGCAACAGGAAACTACGTGTATGATAAATGAAAAGCCCATGATAAAAATTATTTAATCTACTACTATGAATTTTTAAATTACACATTCAAAAAGAGACAAAGAAGGAGGCTAGAGTTGTGGCTCTGCGGTACAGCACTTGCCTAAAATGTGTGAGGCATTGGGTTTTATTCTCAACACAGCATATAAATAAATCAATAAAATAAAGGTCCATCAACATCTAAAAAAAATTTTTAAAAAGAGACAAAGAAAATATTTTCCTTTTATTATATTTTAGAATATAACATAATATATTTTAGGCACATTCTTTATTTCTGTTTTTTGGGTAATAGGGTTTAAACCCAGGGATGCATTCCTAACTTTTTTATTTTTTTCTTTGAGACAGGGTCTCACTAAATTTCTGAAGCTGGCTTAGAATGTGTGATATTCCACCTCAGCCCCCTGAGTTTCTGGAATTAGAGTCATGCATCACCACACCAAACCCTTCTTAACTTTTATAAAAATATAAATTATAACAATGTTATGAGTAATGTATAAATAATACATTATAATAACAATAATTACTTTATAAAATTACAAGCCCTAAGGGAAGCCAAATATATGAACTATCTATATATGAACTATGATGAATTTTGAATGAAAGAAGTATGAATTACAAGACCTCATGTATTTGGGAATTCTTTAAGTGCTGAAGATGTTATAAAAGATACTCAAGATCCTACCTACCATGTATTTGTTACTTTAGATATATTTTTCTCTAATTTCTCAGAATTTTTAAATGCCAATGCCAGGACTTGGGTTCAGATCAGTTTTACTCTAAAATATACACTCTTTTTTTTGTATATAAAGGTCTTCTTTTCACAGTATAGCTAATGATTACTCAAGTTTACAAAGTTGAGTAAAATGTACTCTTTAATTAAAGTCAGATTATTTAGTCGAATCTGAATACCTACCTCTCTTAAGACTGACTTAAAATGCGATCTCCCTGTTTTCTGAGACCATGCTTTTCCAGAAGGTCCATACCGAATCTGATTCCTCTTATTCATGACGTCAGCTTTCAGCTTTGGTGGTTCCCCTTCCATAACAAACACCAGTTTTACATCCATTTGTGTTAAATATGAGATACGAAAAAATAAGTTCCTGAGATACATAAATTAGTAACATATTAACCATAATATAATGACAGTGTAAGTCAAAACTGTATGAACACAAAAGCAAAACCACTAGGACTAGTACCAAAAATATTAAGTGCAATAACATTTTCATTACTAAGAGTTAGTTTACATGTAGTGGAGAAAACTGAATGTTTTTATGTGAGGGAGATTAATTACTATTCTCATTGCTATGTGAAAAATGATTAGGAGGAGGAGACCAAGAGAAGAGGAAGGGAAACGAGTGAAGGTGTTATTTCAGCTGTATAGATGAGAGAATTTGGCATGAACTGAAGTGGTGTATATGGACACTGAGCGAAGTTTGTGAAAACAAAACATATTTTAAAATAGAACTGTCAAGACTTATTCAAGCACTGATGTGAGAGGTAAGACGGGAGATAATGGCTCCCCAAATTCTGGCTTTTAGCAACTGATTCATCCTACAGTATAGATTACGTGGGAGACAGACGTGAGTCTGAAGCTCAAAGAATAAGAGGTACAAATCTGTGAGTCGTTAGTATAAAAATGGCATATTTAGAACTACTATATTTTAAAATCTCAAAAATCATCAGTATAAAAATGGCAGATTTAGATATGCTAAATATATTTTAAATTCTTAAAATATAAAAGAACAACAAAAATTAAGTCTAAGTAAAGCCAAGATACCAAGAAGACACTTTATACAAATATACATTCACACTTAAGAACTCTGATTTTACCTGAGGTGTGGCTTCATGACAGTTCCAATCATTTTTTTGACTGACTGGGCCTCACACACCCAGAGACTCAAATCAACTGCAATGGTTTTCCCACTAAGACTCTGCAAGTCGATGTGTTGCTTAACAGGCTCCAAAATTTGCCACAAGTCATTCACTCCCATTCTGTTGATTATCTACTGTTATTTGAAATATATTTTACAAAAAAATTTGTTAAAGGAAACAGAAGTTCAGAACATAATTTCAAACAGTATATTTTGAGCGAGTTCTGGAAAATGTGTAGAAGATTATTTTCATTTCTTTCACTTGTCAGCCTCAGTCTTTTATGAATTAAGAACACCTCAAACATTAAAAAATATTTAAAAGTTGTTTTAACTATCTTTGTTCTAGCTAATAACAGAAGCTTACAAATGAAGAGATGGGAATAAAATGCAGAGATCCTGTAAAAAGAGGATGGGACCAGTCCTCTATCAAAATGAGGAAAAACAAACAAAAAGAAAAAAGGAAGCAAGTGTGGGAAAAGATAACAGAAGGACAGAAAAATCAAAGGGGGTTAATGAAAGAAAATTTTGGTGGAAAATGGGGGGAGAACAAACAAGATGGAGAGTTGGAGGAATATGGAGTTATATTTTTAAAAACTGCACTCCCCACCCCACAGTACTGGGGACTAAATTCAGCTGTGTTCTACCACTGAACTACCCATCCAGTCCTTTTTATTTTGGACAGGTTCTCACTAAGTTGAAGGTTGGCCTCAAACTTGCAATCCTGCCTCAGCCTCCCAAATTGCTGGGATAACAGGCATGTGACACATGCCCAGCTAAAGGATAATATCTTTTAAATTGCATGGTGATACATGTTTATTGAGGAGAATTGAAAACTTAAATCACCTATAGTTCTACTATTCAAAGTAAATAATGCTGAACAACTTTCCACGTATAGTATAGGACATTTTAAAAACAAAATTGTTTTAACCTCTAATGTTCTTCTGTGCTTTGTTGTTTTTTATAGGCCAACTTTTCCTTTTTAAACACATTTTTCTTTTCCTTTGTTATTATCTGATGAAGATATTATATAGCACTCACAATGCGGATTAAGTCTGACTCTGCAAATTCAATCCAGATTATTATCTTCCCTCCAGAAAAAAAAAAGGGAGAAAGCAAAAATACATAAGTCTATAGGTCAGACTTCACCTGTATGTGGAAACTTTGTGAATAAAGATCACTGTATTATCTTTAACAGAGTCCATCTTAAAAGTAGATTTTCTCAAATTGCTCATGGGTGCAAAGAAAATAAATATTGTTAAGTGTTGCTATCAGTAACTTTGCCTGTTTTTCCGCATCTTTATTTTATGATGTGGCCATATTACCACTGAGTATTAGCCTGTGCATTCATATTCATGAAAAGTGCACAAATAGATGCAGATTTGTCAAATTACAAAGAAAAATATACAGAAACACAAAAAAGTATTTAGTAGTTAATGATGATCTAATGCTAATATTCTCTACATCAAAAAACTCCATTGGTCATAGACATTCTACTGTAACATAGATTCAGAGTTAATTGTGAAAATTTCTGGAAAGAGTGGGGACTAATATATTTTTTAAAGTATTATGATGAAGTGAAATAATACTTTCAAAGTATTAACCATCAGAACACATAAAACTAAAAAAGTCTGAGGGGGAAATTCTTGCTGATAATTTTGTTATCATTTTTGATTCACATTGGATACTAGAATATACTGGTTCTGAAGGAAATGGTAATTCCTTCATAAAGCAATGTTATCATAACTGATCCTATTTCTTTTAAATGTGATTTTGATTCTAGTAGTCAAAATTTCAATGCAAGTTATCTTCTGATTTAGCGATACCTCTGTACATATCTACTTTAAGATATGCTTAGATGTATACAGAATTATATACAGCAATATTCACTGTAGTACTGCTCATAAAAATGACAGAATTACATTGGTTTCCAGAAATTTGAGCTACTATCTGTGCTAAAAAGTGTTCTCTTCTCCATTTTCCCTTAGTTATTTGACATTTTCTAGAAAAACATCTTTCATTGTCACTCTTCCTGATTACTATGTTCTTTAATCCATCTCAAAGCCTTTAAACCACTTTGGTTCCTTATCCCACAGTTTCCATGTATCTACAGAAATGGATTTGAAAATTTCTAAAGCCCATTTCTTTCATAAGCAAAGAATTCCTATGGAATATGCCAGTTTTTCACTTTTTTCTCTAAATAATAGAAATTAAGGAGACATTTTTACAGAAGCTAACTTCTTTATATGACCCATTCCAATAAATCCTTTTTTTCCCTTAGAAGTTTATCACTAGTGAATTTCTATTGGATCTTCTTGATTTATTGTAAGATTTAATAGCATTCACTACTTTCAACTAAAAACTATAGATTAGGACCATGCCAAGGAACAATATCTAAAGGACTGGGGGTTGGACAAAAATTAGAACTTTTCTTTAACGTCTTCATTTTCTCTAATATAATCCCACATCCTCTGACATGTCCCCTGAGCTCCTGACTAGCCTCTAATTGCCTACTTGTTCACATGGATGCATAGATCTGGATTCCACCATAAGTTTGTCTCCATACAACTGAATGCCTTCTGACTAGTCTCTCTGCTTCCATTTTTCACTATCCTCTATGCCCACACAATCCTTCTTCTCACATTAGCTAGACTGATCCTGATTAAAAACCTAAATCATCATCTTTCTGGCAACAAACAGTGAATTTCCTCATGAGTAAGACTTTGCGTCACAAGTTAATTTTCTTCATTTAATGGTGGCTATCTTTAGACAGTTATAAAATGCAAAAGGGATTAATGTAAAACTACATGAGTAGTAACTCAATACATTTTTAAAAAACACTATTTTAGAATTAGCTTTAAAATATCTACAACTGAAGTTTAAAAATACATGATCTTTTTAAAGACCATTCATAAAAGTAGGATATTAAAAGAACATTTCAATTTTGAAAGGGAAAAATGGCATGAAATTTATTTAAAAGTACACCTTGTTTTAAGAATGCAGTTAATCCAAAATTTCTATCATCTATTGTTTCTACTCATCACATGTTCTCTTTATCAGTCATTTCTCCCAAGTGACATTAAATAGCAATGATCAAGACACTAAAAAAGCATATAAAATTCCAAAAAGGGACAGGAAGCAACAGCTTTTAAGATACTGAACTACATTAAAGAAACCGATGGTTCTTGTAGGAGGTAATAATCAACACAAGGTTACTTCAAAATAGATCAGTATCAAGTAAAATTTAAAATCACTACATCTTGATCCATTAAAGACTGTGTAATTTTGCCATGCTTTTATTTTTTAATTGGGTAAAATTTGAAATTTTTGTGGTGTGGGATTTGGTGAGTGTCTACTTAAAACTTTCACTTTGTAATAACTTGATTGATGCCAACCTGACCATACAGTGCATACTACAAAAATGAGCCTTCTAACATATTTATAGTTCTTAGGAACAGGTATGATACAAAAATAAGCGAACCAAAAAAGTTAGAATGCCATATAGCAAATAACTTTATAACCTACTAATGGCTTTACTTTATTTAGCTTACCTTGTGTGTATCAAAATCAGAATACTTAGCAAACAGCTACACATCTTACGAATCTCTTCAGTTTATTTAGTTTAGTGAAAAGAGCACTGAACTTGGAATACAAAAAGCCTAGGATTTTGGCCTTGGATATACCACAATTAGTTGTATGACCTTGGAAAGACATTTAGTTTTTCTCCAAAATGAGAGTTATTCAACTAGATTAATTTCATGTTTCTAATATCCTTTGAATCTCATAACCAATTTTGGTAGCTTGGAATAAAAAAAAATATTCTACTTCAGAAATTATTGTCTGGTAAAGCATAAACTTCTACTTAAATAAAGGGATTAAGAATCCACTTCAAGTTAAAACAAAAACCAACCCTTTGATGTAACCATATGGTACCAATAAACCAATTTATGCTCCTAAAACTTCCTTAAAAGCTAATAAGTTTTTATTGGTTAATTATAAAACTGAATGAGGTGAGAAAAAACACAGTACCTTGCTAATTCTATTAATGAACCAAATTTAAAGACAAAAAGAAGTCAGTGGTCTGATTTATGCAAAAACATGCATTTTATTAAAGCAAGTTTTCTAATTTATTTCAACTTAATGCAAAAAAATTAGAAAGTTTAACAAAAAGGCAGCAGGGAATAATTCCTCAAATCCATTCAAATGACTATATTTTCACAAAAAATTATTAAATGGCTTAAACTTTATTTCAGTGAAAGATTGTGTTGTATGGGACTTACCATATTTCACTAATGCTCATTTTTAAAATTATTTTTTTTCACCTTTACTTTTATATGAAGAAAAAGCCAAGCTTTAAGGCTTACTCTAACTCAGATTTGTTATCAATAAAAAATTTAACGTGTCCACTATTTACCACGAATGCTTCTGGGTGGCATAGATACAACTTTAAGTTCAGGTTCTGCATTAAGCATTTAATGATCTTGGTAGGGCGAGACAGCAGACAAAAAGGGCAATATCACAATGTGACCAGTACAGGCACAGAGGTAAGGCGAGTAAGCCATTCGCGTCTATAGGAAATAGGTGCCCTACCTAGTCCTGGACATCACGGTTTCCTGAAGGAAGTGACACCTAAGCAGGGAATTCCATGAATGCTTCACATGAGTTACCAACCAGGACCGATTTGTCCCCACATTTTAGTTTGTTGATTATATGATACTCTTCACTGATCCATGGCAAAGGCCACAACACATATTTACTTTCACAAGTACAAGGTTCTTTGGAAACCGGAGGTTAGACATCAGATGGGGATGGGCAAATGCCATCTTTTTCCCCAACTGGAAGGAAAGATTCTGGGTGTTGCAAAGTAGGTTACTTGACTAGGTCTGCGTATTCACGGGGAAGGTGTCATACTGAAGGGGTGGATGAGCTTCGGGTTGAGAAGTGAGCGGAAACACTCTAGGGGGCGCGGGGGTGGGGGACTGTACCCACACAACCCCAGTGCCCTATGTGAATCCTACAGAATTATTTTCAAGATAACGTAGGAGAACAAGCGTGCAGATAGGCAGGCGGGTAGGCTCACCCACAGAGAGCCTTGGACTCCTTGGAGGCAGGAGGAGGGCACAGGGGACCCAGCAGCTCGGTGGCGCGGGCCCAGAGCCCACTCGCCGGCACAAAGTAAGGGCAGGATCGCGCTCGGAGGCTCGGCTCGCGCCTTCCACTTCCTTCAAGGCGCGCCGCAGAAGGCGTTTTGGAGGAGGCGCGGCTCCGGGCCTAGATTTTCAAAAGAGCTGGAGGAAGAATCAGGCCAGCCTCTCCTCAGTCCCAAGGGACTTACCCGGACAACCCTTCCACCTGGGTTCTGGAAGAAGCCCTTCGTCCTTTACCAGCTTGGATCCAAGCCTAACTACGGCGGCTTCCACCTTTCTGATTTTCTCAAAGGGAAAAACACAAAGTCTTCATTCGTTTCCAAAGTAAACAGCAGCGCAGCGGCCCGAGGAAAAACCCAGCGAGCACTTTCGAATTCAGCGCCTCGCCCGCCGGCCCGCCTCTTCCGGAAAATGGCTAGTCCCTCCCCAGGGCCCGCGTCGCCCGGGGCGGCTTCTTCCTGCCTCTACCCGGCTCGCGGACGCATGCGTGGACCTGCGGCGTGCGGCGCCCAGCTATCTTCTTTTTCTTTTAGGCAAACCTCCCGCTGCGCCGCTGCCGCCGCTACTGCCTCCGAGTGGCGCGTGCCTACCAGCTTCCTCCGCCCGCCCGCTTGTACTTCCGGCCCTCTCCCCTCGGACTCAAGTGGCGCGAAACGCCCAAAACGCGC